GACCTTTTTCTAGCACAGGTCATAAATGAAGCCTTGAGATTAGGTAACATTGTTAAATTTGTCCACCGAAGGGCTATCCAAGATGTTAAGTTCAAAGGTAAAATAATTGTAACTAATTGAACAAGAGGCTCTTATTATTATTATTATTATTATTATATTTTATTTTATTTTTTGGCGATTATACGATTACGTCGGGATTTGTAACTGTTGGATCATCATGTAACAGTCGTGGATAGTTGGTCTGACGGTTAAAACTCCCCGACTGAATAGTTCCGTAACCGTATGGTAATATTATTTAATTATGAATTACACTTTTGGGCCAGATCACATAATAATACCATCCGGATGGAAAGTCCTACCGATCATCTCCGCCGTTCATCTGGATCCTTCTTTCCATGTGAATCCCTTAGATTTTAATCCTTGGAGATGGCAGCAGGTAACTTCATGAGCTGAGCACACAATTGATTTTGTATATACTACTATTGCTTTATCCTTAATTACATGGGCCCAATCAATTGGGCTAATAAGTCTGTGATTTCTCCTTATTAATTACATGGCCCATTATGCAGAAAGAAGATGAAGCGGGCGGGAAGACATTTAGTCCATTTGGGGGAGGGTCGAGGTACTGCCCTGGTTTTGAACTAGCTAAACTTGAGGTTGCTTTTTTCCTCCATCGCCTCCTACAAAAATACAGGTCATTAATTTTTTTTTTATATATTATTTTATGTTTTATTTTTTATTATTATTATTTTTAGTAAATGATTATTTTTATATTATATATATATACATTAATATATATAAAAAAATCTACATGAATTGGGTGAGTATGATATATTCCATTGAAATTATTATTGGCCGCAATTAAATCTTCTATGAGATGAATTTCCATATTTATTTATATTTACAGGTGGAAAGTGGAAGAAGGAGATCATCCCATTGCATTTCCTTACGTCGAGTTTCCAAAAGGACTCAAATTAAGTGTGCAGTGTCTGTGATGATTATGTAAACGGATAATAGGGAGATGTCACGGTCCTGTTACGGACTATCCTCGACGGTTACATGATGATGTAACGGTTTCAAATTCCGACGAAAT